GTCTGGTCACAACTTAAACACTGGAGTTCGGGAAGAACTGACTGGAGCGTCCGGTCACCCCGCAGAGGCACATAGCGGTTTGTTTTGAACATGGGTGTATAAATACTTCCTCCATTCGTGTGAGGGGGTACTTTTGCTCATTCCAATAGCTAAGAAACACCTTTGAGAGTGCCAAGAAGAGCAAGGTCCTAGTGAGTTGATTGAGATTTGAGAATCCCAAAGAGAGCCCTCATTAGTGAAAGCAAGAGTAGCAAAGTGTGCATCCACCCTTCTCATTAGGCTTGTCGTGGTCAAGTGAGAGTTCATGCTTGTTACTCTTGATGATCGCCCTCACCTAGATGGCTTGGTGGTGATTGGGAGTTTGATGATCATCTGGCGGAGCTTATGGATGACCGAACTCAAGTCGTGAGCGGTTGTAGGTGATTCACCGCGATGGAGTGTCAAAGAATCAACCCGTAGAGAGCACTTGATCCTTGCGTGGATCAAGGGGGAGCTACACCCTTGCGCGGGTGCTCCAACGAGGACTAGTGGGGAGTGGTGACTCTCCGATACCTCGACAAAACATCGCCGCGTTCCTACTTCTCTTTTTACTTTGAGTATTTACTTTGAGAAATTCAATTCTTGTCATTTACATTCATAGAATTGCCATGCTAGAGTAGGATTGGAACAGAGGTTGCTAAACTTTTGTGCGGTAGATCAATAGAAACACTTTTTAGGCACAAGGGATTAATTGGGCTAACCGTAGGACTTAATTATTGCAAAGAAATTTAGAATTAGCCCAATTCACCCCCCCCCCTCTTGGGCATCTTGATCCTTTCAGAGCACAATGCAAATTGGCGACGGGCGATGTTGGAGGAGATGAAGACGATCGAGGGAAACGAGACTTGGGAGCTCGTCGATCCACCTCCAGGATGGCGTCCGATTAGCCTGAAGTGGGTGTACAAGGTCAAGCGGGACGAGCGCGGCGCCATTGTCAAGCACAAGGCGCGCCTCATCGTCCGAGGCTTTGTCCAGCGCGTGGACATCGACTTCGAGGAAGTCTTTGCGCCGGTAGCGCGCATGGAGTCTATCCCACTGTTGCTGGCTTTGGTAGCAGCGAAGGACTGGCGCGTCCATCACCTGGACATAAAATCGGCCTTCCTCAACGGCGAGCTGGCGGAGATGGTCTTCGTTAGGCAACCTCCGGGTTTCACCGTCAAGGGAGCAGAGCACAGGGTGCTCCAACTACGCAAGGCGCTCTACGGGCTACGGCAGGCCCCATGAGTGTGGAACGCCAAGCTTGACGCCACGTTGGGTGAGCTTGGGTTCACGCGGTGTGCAACCGAGGACGCGCTCTACACGCGGCGACGGGGGAAGGAGGAGCTCATCGTCGGCGTGTATGTGGACGACTTGATCATCACCGACGCGCGTACGGAGGATATCGACAGCTTCAAGTGCGAGATGGCGGCTCATTTTCGAATGAGCGATCTTGGCGTGCTCTCCTACTACCTCGGCATCGAGGTGAGATAGGGGAAGGTGGCGCTCACGCTCGGTCAGAGCGTGTACTCCTCGAAGCTATTGGAGAGAAACAAGCATGGCTGAGTGCAAGCCGTACGTGACTCCGATGGAGGAGCGGCTGAAGCTGATGAAGGCCAGTACCACGGCGAAGGTAGATGCAACACTCTACCGGAGCATCGTCGGCGGTCTGCGCTACCTAGTCCACACGAGGCCGGACATTGCGTTCGCCGTGGGCTACGTCAGCCGCTTCATGGAGGATCCCCGAGGGGATCACTGGGCTACGGTGAAGTGGCTGCTGCGCTACGTCAAGGGGACGGTGGATCAGGTGATCGTCTTCCCCAAGATCGGCGAAAGTAGGCTGCAGCTCACTGTGTTCAACGATGTAGACATGGCGGGGGACATCGACGGACGACGGAGCACCTCTGGCATGCTCGTCTTCCTCGGCTCAGCTCCAATCTCATGGCTGTCGCTGAAACAGAAGGTGGTGGCGTTGTCTACGTGCAAGGCAGAGTATGTGGCGGCAGCCACAGCGACGTGCCAAGCTATGTGGCTGCGCCGGCTGCTAGGCGAGCTGACCGGTGTGGAAGCTCACCCACTAGCACTGATGGTGGACAACCTGCCCGCCATCGCCCTCGCGAAGAATCCGGTTCTCCACGACCAGAGCAAGCACATCGACGTCAAGTTCCACTTTCTCAGGGACTGTGTCGATGGAGGGCAGATCGTCATCGAGTTCGTCAAAACTAGTCGGCAACTCGCGGACGTCCTCACCAAACCGCTCGGCCGTCTTCGGTTCTCGGATTTAAAGAAGATGATCGACATGGTGGAGGTTCTAGGATTAGCAGCAGGATTAGGGAAAGAATTGTAAAGTAATCTGCTGCTCTCCCTCTGTACGCGCGGCAGGGCAGGCGTCGAAAGGGCTCCCCTGCTGCTGCACTATAGCCGCTGCAGGGGCAGGTGCCGAAAGGCTCCCCTGCTGCACTGTAGCCACAGCAGGGGCGGGTGCCAAAGTCAGCCCTGCTGTCACATCTAGTCATTGTAGCAGCATGACAGCCTGACATGTCTGTGTACTAGGATTAGATGGGTAGAGTTGTATATATAGTTTCCCACTGCAACTCAGTAAAGAGAGCGAGTTCAATTTTGCCATCTCCTCTGCAGAGCTCCGGCCAACGCTGGTGCTTGTGCTGTGTGTGCGCACGCTTTGTTCTCCCTCCCTTCTTCTACCTCCAGCGGTAGTGTGTGATCGGGAACGATAGTGAGCGGTCGGCTCACCCATGCGGGAGATCTTGGGACCAACAGATACTGGCCTTTAGATGGATCTGATGACCTAAACGAAACTTACAAGGAGGGTTTTATATTTGAGTAAGCAGCAGGTGTGATTGGCTTTATTTACCAACTTAAGAGGACAAGTTTCTTGCTGCTGGGGTTGTGTCATTCTGTCATATGATATTTGTGGGACTAATCAGCTTGATGCATCAAGCAATGCCAGTAATGCTTGCAATAAATAAACTTTTGCAAGATAACTGTAGCAATATCCTAGTACAGACATAATTATAGGTTCTTGAAGACAAGACTGAGTTCTGAAGCATCTTTTTGGGATCTTTGTGGCAGTGGAATCCTGCTTGCCTTCGAACTACTGTGCTGGCATTATTTTCTGTCGCAGATTTCTTTTTGTTTTATGTGTTACCAGTTTGGAAATATACAAGGTTCAATACATCACTACTAGTTCTGGATGTGACCAAGTTAGAAATGCAACATATGAGAGGGACTACATCCACTTCACGGGCCAAATGACCTATTTCAGAGCTTCCCGCATTCCTGCATGATGTCCAATGCAGTAATCTCAGTGAACACAGAGGGTCTCCCGATTGCGGCACTGACAACATGAGGGTTGTGGCCCTCGTTTTTCTGTATGTCATTCTCAGGGATGCTTAGTTTATGTTGATAGCAATGTCTAGCCGAGTGATGTCCTGTCAATCTAGGATCGTGACAGTGAGGAGTGGATGTGGATCTTCAAGCAGAGCATGGTCAATAAGCCAAATCTATTTGGATCAAGAATGTTAGGGGATGGGACTACTATACAACTGCATTTCATCTAGACAGTGATTTGATTTTCTTCTCAGATTGGTTTCAGAAAAGACCGGTGTCCTATCATATGAAACACAGGGATGTGTATGTTATCTACACTCTAGAAGTGCTCTGTTTTGAGTTTCAAGAAACAGATAATGTGTATCGCAACTTTTTACCATATGTTCCATCATACGCAGGGGCATTACCATCATCTACTCTCAACTAGAAATGCTTCACAGCCTAAAAGCCTATCTCATATATTTACTGTGTTGGAAGGGTACAAGTCTCAGAAGTTACTAGTAATTCTGGATGTAAGGAATTAGAAAGCAGGCTACTTGTTAAGAGTCTTAAGTTTTCTTGTTTATCTCCCTTTGTTTTTCAGTGCTGTATGATTCCTATTTTAGTAACTATTCTGAGCGCACTTGAAACAATTAGTAGGACTAATCTTGTTACTATATTTGTGGCAATGCAATATATGATTTTATTATGATGTAGAGACATTTCTGGTTGCTAACCGCAAATCTTGGTCAAATTACTTAGCTGTTTGAAATGACATTGATGGATTTAGATGGTTCAAATTACTTAGCTAGTTCTGGATGTGACCAAGTTAGAAATGCAGTACATGCAGAGGGAATAGTGAATTATCTGGTGGTTTTGCAATGAGTGGACCATGGGAGCATAATTCTGTGCACTATGATAATCAGCTGATTCGTGCCAGCATTTTGGCTTTAGCAAATAGCATTGGCCAAGAGAGGATTACTGGCATTTGAAAGTGTGGTTACTTCTGGGGATCTTATTGAGGAAGCCACTTGTATGGCTTTCGCTAATTAACCATTGACTGGTGTGATGACATCTGAAGGATCAAGTTTTTGTGATCAACTGGCTGTATCAAGCAGTAATGTGTTTAAGGATGTGTGGTGAAGCTATCGAGTTTGAGTGAACTACTAGCTGCATCAGGCAGTAATATCACTAAGGGTGTGTGGTGCAGCTATCGAGTTCGAGTGAACTGTCTGGTTAAGGATCAGCTGTGTGAGCATAACTGAATTCTTTGTGCTAACACAGTGGATGAATGACCCTCTTTTGTCTTAGGAAACAATCGTGGAAATTGTGGAGACCATCAGTGGCGGATCCAGAAATGGACCAGGGGGGGGGGGGCTAAATAATAGAGGGCAAATTTTTTTTTTGCTCACTGTACACAGTAGACTAATAGATATAGCAAATGTTGATATCAATTCAAAGTGCTCAAAGATACATAGAACCATGACGAGAATAGAAAAGTACCAAATACAAAGAGCCTTCCATAATAAAAAAATCCATGCCTAATGTCTTCCGTCTTCACGAATTCACACCACTTGAACCACCACGCTCAATGCTACATAATTTTTAAAATGTCATACTTCTTCATATATCAAGATAGCATTATAAAATGAAATTTACTAAAACAATACGCACCTCGGGCGCTCACGTGGCAAATTTATCTTTCGGTTTTTGAAACCTTGAAAGCGCTTCAAAATTTTATCATCTTCAACTGATGCAAACAAATCCCGCTCAATATAGCATATCATGCTATTATTCATCCATTCATCATTCATTTTATTCCTCTGTTCGGTCTTGATAATATTCATAGCGGAGAATGCTCTTTCAACTGTTGATGTTGCCACCGGCAAAATCAATGCAAGTTCAATGAGACGATACACCAAAGGGAAATGTGTATGTCTATCACTTTGAACCATCTTCTCAGCAAGGTTACCAAGATCAGTACATGTGCCAAAATCTCTATCATGTTTGACATCATCAATAAATACCAGGAGGTCACCCCTTAGCTTTTCACAATCATAATCACTGAAGTCATCTTTATAGATCTTAGCGAGCTCAACTAATTGCTCTATCTCAAAGTTAGCAAAAGAACCATTCGGATCAAGACAAGCAACACATCTCAAGAGTTGAGTTGATCTTTCTGGAAACCGATTGTTTAACTCACAAAGAATCTGATCAATCACAGCAATGAAAATTCCATGATGAAAATGATGGTAGTGTGTCACTAATTTGGCACCACGGAATTTGGAACGACCTCTAACTGGTATCATATCTTCCATATTAGGAATGTCTATCTTCTTTTGGACACAAAAGCTTTTGATCTCTTCAAAAAGATCATCCCAACCATTTTCCCTCATGGCATTCATATTTCTCATCACAGAACCAATCAATCCTATTGCACGAACAATGTTCTGATTTTTCCTTTGCAAACATTGTGATATTTCTTGAGTCAACCCCAATACTCTAATCATAAGATGTAATATGAACACAAATTCAAATGACTCCATTTTTTGTTATTAATCCAGATGCAATAGTTTTCTTTTCCCCATCAGTTCCATCTTCACTAACATTCTCTAACACCTCAAGTACAGAACCCCACATGAGCATAAGACGTGCCAATGTTTTGTGATGTGTTCCCCACCGTGTATCACCAGGCCTAGCAAGACTAGTTTCTTGGTTTTTCCCTCTCCCAGGAAAAATATCACCACTATCTAATTGCTGAACAAGATGGTCATGGTGATTTTGGAGGAGTTGATCTTTTCTTTTGCAAGAAACACTAACAGTATTGACAATTGAAGTGACATAATTGAAGAAATCAAATGTTGAAGTACAACACTTGGCTACAGAAACTACCACAAGTTGCAATTGATGAGCAAAACAGTGGATGTAAAAGGCAAATGGGTTTTCATTCAATACCAGCCTTTGTAATCCATGAAACTGTCCTCTCATGTTTGAAGCTCCATCATATCCTTGTCCTCTAATCTTGGAAATAGATAGATCATACCTCCTAAGCATAGTATCCAATGCTTCCTTTAGTGAATGTGATGTGGTGTCAGAAACATGTTCAATGCCAAGAAACCTCTCAATGACATTTCCTTTATCATTGACAAACCTACAAGAGAAAAGAAAAAATATATTTATTGGAAAGAAAAAATAAAATCAATGAAATACACAAATTAAGAGATGATATATACCTCACAACCATAGCCATTTGTTCCTTAATAGATGCATCACGAGCCTCATCAACAAGCACCGCAAAGCAACGATCTCCAATTTCATTTTTAATTAACTCACTTGTCTCCTCTACGCAAGCCCTAACCAAATCTTTCTGAACTATTGGGCAACTCATTTGATTATTGCCTGGAGCATTTTCATCCGTCACAAGTGCAGCCTTCGGATCCTTCTTTCTGTACCATTCAAGCATCTCCCGAAAGTTCCCTTTGTTTTTTGATGTTTTAGACTCATCATGTCCACGAAAGGCTAGAGCTTGTAAAAGGAGAAATCTAGCAATGCCTAACATAATAGTTAAACGAGCTTTATATGCCTCCTCTTCTGCTGCGCTTGTCACAGTCCACACATGTTCAACACTTTGTCTCTGATTTTTGAAGTCAAGTGCACACTTCATTGCATTACTGTGAAAGCCATCAACTGATTGAGCATGCTCCTTGAAAGAATCCTTTGCATTCTTCCAATTTCTGAACCCAACTCTAGTGAATGTATCATTACTGTGAAACCCAATTTGTTGTGGCTTAAAGAGATAGCAATAAAAGCAATAGGCTGCATCCTTGGCTACACTGTACTCTAACCAATCAAATTGATCAAACCATGATCCAACAAATCATCTTGCTTGACCTTTACCATTGACTTTTGTTTTTGGAAACTTATGACCAGTTAGCCTATATGGACCTTTCTGTAGATACGCTCTCCTAGCCTCATCCCTAATGTCATGATGAAACTCATCAATTGGCTTTTCTATTGCCTGGATCATCAACTATATCTCTCAAATCAAGTTCAATCCTCGGTCTTTTCTGTTCAAGCCGACTCTCTGTCTCTTTATTTCCTGTATTACTATTTGATGCATCTTTCTTAGCATAATATCTTTCCATCCTAAAACACATTGGATATGAATTAAGAAATAATAATTATCAATTAACATCCTCTAGACACCTGACACTACAGACTACAGTACAGACTTGAAAGAATTAGGGATGGGAATTGGGAATATTAGATCTCTTCTCACCTGCGTGCTTCCTGCAGGGACAGACGAGCAGGACTGCAGGATGACCGAGTGGACAGTGGACGACGTGCCGCTGCCCACTGAAGATCGTGGAGGCCGGAGTGGCGGAGTCTGAGATCTACCGGGCGGCGGGCGACGTCGCCAGGTCGCGACTCCGACTCGCGATCACGACTTCCCGAGGGAGTCGAATCGCGCAGGCCGCACGGAGCGAGGCGCGAATGTGAAAAGCCGATCAGGCCAAGGGTCGCTGCGCTGCGTGCTTTGCCGTGCGGCCAGGGCTAACTAGAATACTAGTTGGGCTGCATTCATGCCAGGGGGGGCTATTGGGCTGCCAAGGCTTTTTTTGTGTTTTTTGTGAAACTTGTTCCTAGACTTAATGGGCCGCGCCCCGGGCTACAGCCCAGGCAGCCCAGGCCTTGGATCCGCCCCTGGAGACCATGTAACACCAACGTTTTGAAGAGTGGTTACTATAGGGATCTTGCTGAAGGAACCTATGTATTTGACCTGTTATTAATCGATTAAAAAAAGATTGTGTTGAAGCTGAGAATAGAGGTATCCTATTTTATCTCAGACCTCCTTGCTGCTTTTGTTATGTTCAGCGTCATGAAACAAGTTCCCATGATGCCTGCATTTTGTTTTCCAAGAGCTTCTGGTCGCCTCTGAATAATGACGGCAATATCTCTCCTGATGCGAAATTTCTGCCGGCACCGATTGAATTTCCTCTTTGTTAGTAGAGACACCTGGAAACAAGCTAAAAGTTTCTCCCATTTGTCGCTTCGCTGAAAAGCCAGGCTAAAAAGTACTGTTCGCTAATTTGTTGTGAGAGAAAAATACTGTACAGTGGCTAATAAGGCAGGCTGATAAGTTCCAGTGAACAGGGAGGCGAGAAGAAAAAAATAATTGTTTATGTTGCTTGGTTGTTTCCCACCTCCACATCTGTATCTAGCTAGATTGGAACTCTCAGTTGAGGACGCCCTTAGGTAGGTAAGGGGAAACGAATATGATATGAATGTCATTATTTACCATATATTTTGTCGAATAGAGATACTGAATATCCCAAACATTAATGCAAAACGGATAGCTTAGATATGGATTCGCATTGAGATATCCATTTAGCTCTGTTGTCTACAAACATCCAACCAATTTAGGAAACAAATTAATGAGATATCGAAATATAAGTATACTAATTCTATCATACTAATTATAATGTTAACTATATATCAACAATCATATTAACTATATGAATTATGAATCAATAGTTATATTAATTATGTGTCATTACTAGTATTTAATATAAAACACGGGTTACTAGTTACCCATGGACACAACCGTTAAATACTTTGGACGTTTTAAGGTTGACTGCTAACTATTTAAAACTACATTATATATCGTTTGTCATAACAACTGAAATTAACACAATTAGCCAGATTAAATTAATATCATTAGTCATAAAAATAATTATTTTTTTATATATCTTTATTAATGAATTAATATTATTAGTCATTATTTCCAAATAGTTGTAATGTTACATATTATATATCATTGGTCATATTAACTAAAATTAGCATAATCACTCATATTAAATTAATATAATAATTAGTTATATAAAAATTAATTAAAGTTTAATTTATATATAATTAATATTACTAGTCATTACATTAAATAATTTGAATGGTACATATTACTTTGACTACAAAATCAATATTATTAGTCATTAGTTTAGGAATAGTTTTTAGATAGTTCCACTTAGTAGCATATCTTCACGGATATAGATGTTGTCGGATATTTTCGAATACGGATTAGAATTGGATAGAGAAAAGCAACACAAAGGAAATTCAGATACATCCATTTAGCATCTATATTTAAAACGAGTACAAATACAAGTATCTATATTATAAGTTTTAGTGAATACGATTAGAGTAATTCGGATATCCATGCATCCATTTTCATACCTACCTTAAGGCTAGTCTTAACGTGAGTTTCATGAATATTAAATAAACTGACATTGCATAGTTTAAACGAAGAGATATGATAACAGTTTCATGCTGAACACCAGGTTATGGGCTTCTAGCAACTTAGGCAAGCACAAATTCTTCTTCTGGTTGCTACTTAGAGACAGGCTGAACACCAGAAATCTACTGAGGAGAAAAAACAGAGCTCTAGAAGACTACAGTTGTGTCCTATGTACCACTGATCAAGAAGAAATATGCTTCCATCTCTTTTTTGAATGTTGTGCGGATATAACCTCCGGTATCCACAATATAAGACATGGGCCGCACCTTCAGAGGTGGCCCAGCCCACAAGATCAAGGCATATACGGCACTGGTCGACGTGTACCGCAAGATATTGTATAGTACCAAATATGATATTTTCCTTGTAACCCTACCCCTCTAGAGTATATAAGAAGAGGCTAGGGTCCCCTAGTCGATATCTACATACATCTCATATTCAATACAATACAACAAAGACAGAGGACATAGGGTATTACGTCAATCAGACGGCCCGAACCTGTCTAAATCGCTGTCTTTGCGCCTTGTGTCACCATCCGGTTCCTGATCACGCGCACCTCTACCGATCAATCTACCTTCATGGGATACCCCTCGGAGGACTACCGAGCATCTTTTGTCGATAGTTGGCGCCCACCGTGGGGCTCGTGCGCGCTGATCCCTGGTGAACCAGATGGCGTAACTCAAGATCAACATCCTTCGCGGCAACTCGGCGGATCACGCCGACATCCTTCGACAACCACGACACACGTCTTCGTACACGGATTGACACCGCCAAGATCCGACTATGTCCGTCCTACTCCAACACGAGATCAACTTCGTTCCAGCCATCAAGCGAGCTGCCCGCGTCGCCGACCAGATAACACCATACGCCGCCGACCAGACGTTCGGTCTAAAGCTAAGTCACGCTTTAATATTCTTCTAAATATTCTCCAATCTTCGTATATCGCCATAATATTTCTCCAAGCTGTTTTCTCCATGTTTGCTCTCCAAATGATTTTCTTTCATGTATACCATCTTAAAGATGACATACAATCAAGTCTAAGGCGAACCCTCGAACAGTCATGTTGACGCTCGGATGCCCCCAGAGACAGCCCTGTCTCTGGCTCCTCCCTACACGTGCACGAGCGTCTGCCCTCTGCGTTATGGGTGGTCGGCAGCGGCTCCTTAGCAACACTTTGTTCTTCCTACACACGCACGGGCTCCGCGCTCCGCGTTATGGTTAACGGGCTAGCTAGGGCTAGAGACTCAGCTACACACTAACTGGTCGGGCGGTTTATATTAAATATTAATACATCTTCAGAATAACACTAAGTGTTCACACCAACTGATCGCCGAACTGTATACGCTATTTCATCACCATTGCTGATTCTTCTCTGGAGTTCATATATTTTTACATTATGTACTACCCGTTCTACATATTTGTATTGCAAGATCATCGTCCAGGTGATCGGACCACCTGGTGCTCGAACTTCTCCACCGATCAACTAGTCGGACCGCTAGGTTCATGGACTTCATCGCCGACAAGTTGATCGGACTGTTCGCTGGTCGCTTCTACTCAATGCTCACTTCACAGCCGACCAGTTGACCGGACTGTTCGTCGCTCGTGCCTCATCGCCAGCTACGTCAGAGACTCCTCGGTGCTCGGACATCGCCAGCTACGCCGAGGACTCCTTAGTGCTCAGACATCGTCAGCTACGTCGGGGACTCCTCGGTGCTCGAACATCGCCAGCTACACCGGGGACTCCTCGGCGTTCGGACATCGCTAGCTACGCCGCAGACTCCATGGTGCTCGGACATCGCCAGCTACGTCGGGGACTCCGCGGCGCTCGGATATCGCCAGCTACGCCGGAGACTCCTCGGTGCTCGGACATCGCCAGCTACGCCGGGGACTCCGTGGCGCTCAGACATCGCCAGCTATGCCGGAGACTCCATGGTGCTCGGACATCGCCCGCTACGCCGGGGACTCCGCGGCGCTCGAACATCGCCAGCTACGTCGGGGACTCCTCGGCACTCGGACATCGCCGGCTACACCGGGGACTCCTCGGTGCTCGGACATCGCCCTCTATGCCGGGGACTCCTCGATGCTCGGACATCGCCACCACGCCGGGACTCCTCGGTGCTCGGACATCGCCACCACGCCGGGACTCTCGGGCTCGGACATCGCCCATTCTACGCTGGGACTCTGGCGGGACTCCTCGGTGCTCGGACATCGCCAACTACGCCGGGGACTCCTCGGTGCTCGGACATCGCCAGCTACGCTGGGGACTCCTCAGCGTTCGGATTCTTCGTGCAAGCGTTGCCAGTTAAGCTGAGGACTCCCTGGGTGGTCGGATCTTGCTACGTCTCATCGGTGTGCTATCAAGCTGCTCCATCTGGGCAGCACATCTGGGGTCTTGATACACGCATGTCAGATGACGTCGGCAAGCTTTCAGACTTCTTTTCTTTGAGCCTGTTACAAGATTTATTCTTCATCTTCCAGCAGACTCGGGGACTAAGTAGCTACACTTCACCTGGCGGTGAATGTAGTGCTTATTTCTTGATTTACCCTCCTTATTGACGGAGTCTAAGTGGCTACACTTCTCCTAAGTGGAAGAATTTTCAAATTTAATCTTGATCCCCTTACATCCTTCTAGCAAGCTTTACTTGGCTAAGTCCGAGGTCTTTTAACCAGTTAAACTGGCCGGCTCCTACTTTCACCGCTCAGTTCACCAGTTAAACTGGTCGGCTTTGACTTCCACTGCTCGGATCACCGGTTAAGCTGATCGGTTTCGACTTTCACTGCTCGGATCACCAGTTAAACTGATCGGCTTCACGTCAAACTGTTCGGACTTGTTCAAAACAGCGTTGCTCAAAGGATACAAGGTGTTCGGGGACTAGCTGTGAGGATATAACCCCCGGTATCCACAAAGACAAGACATGTGCCGCACCTTCAGAGGTGCCCCGGCCAACCCACAAGATTAAAGCGTGTATGTCACTGGTCGACATGCACAGCAAGATATTCTATAGTACCATATAGGATACTTTCCTTATAACCCTACCCCTCCAGAGTATATAAGGAGAGGCTAGGGTCCCCTAGTCGACATCTACATACATCTCATATTCAATATAATACAACAAAGACACATGACGTAGGGTATTACGTCGATCAGACAGCCCGAACTTGTCTAAATCGCTGTCTCTGCGCCTTGTGTCACCATCCGGTTCCTGATCACGCGCACCTCCACCGATCAATCTACCTTCGTGGGATACTCCTCAGAGGATTGTCGAGCATCTTTTGTCGACAAATGCCAATTCAGTCAAGCTTGCTGGAACTGGAACTCAATCTCTATCAACTGGAACCTGAACTCTCAGCCACTAGATATGGTCATAGAAGCCGGAGAGGCTTTTGGGAGTAGTATCTTCATAGAGATCTTCGTTACTGCCTGTTTAGAGCATCGGACTAGTCAGAAATTGAGTTATATTTGACAATGAGCCTGTCAACATCGATGCATGGAAAGAGGTATTTCAAGGCTGAACTTGGCTATGTGTGTATCAAAGCCAAGCCTAGGATACGAAACCAACTCAAATTGTGGAGAGATAGCCATACATGACGTACTTTCTTCTTCTTTTTTGGGCCTAGATGCCTTGTATCTTTTTCGTCTTGTACATACCATTCTTTTATTTAATTGAAAAAGGGAAAAAATATAGGTAGGGAACTCCCCTTCCGGTTCGATCAAAAATAAAAATTTCATGTGATGAAACACGTTTCATAAAGATAAAATTTGTTTATTTAAAAATTGTATTTATGAAACCTATTTCATGAGAGTTTCAACACGTGAGACTCAACAGGAACATAAACCCAGCGCTAAATCCAACAATTCTCGGCGTTGTGTCACTCGATTTGTGTGCCGTCGGATGTAGCATCCGAACGGAGGCGATGGCCTACCGTGGGGACCAGGGTGGTGTGGTGCAAGTGAGATGGTGTGCGCCTGCTGTGGGGACCAGGGGGCTGTGTGGCTGCGTTTGTGCTGTACGCAGATGCATGTGACCCGTCATGTCAATCATCTCACCTCTATAGTCAATTGTTCAGTATAGCAAATTACAACTTATTATACCATATTTTACTACTTCTATTTAAGTGTAAATTCTACGTTTAATTTGTGTAAAATGATTATTCGTAAATGAGAATGATCAGAATTATTTGAACCGTTATATGATCTTTTTTGTTTTTATTTTATTTTATTTTCTATATGTTTTATTTACTTCTCATTTAAATTTTTTTAATTTGGCTTTTATAGAAATAATCTGGTTATTTTTTTGTTTGTTTAAAATTTTTGGATTATTTGGATATTATTTGGTTTTTTTATTTTCTGTATGTTTTATTAGGTTTCTCTTTGAAATTTTCCAATTGGCTTTTATAGAAATAATATGGCTATTTTTTTATTTGTTTGTGTTATATTTTTGTATTACTTGGATAATTTTTTTTGGTTCATTTGATTTGGATCCACCGGTCATGAAGTCGTGTGTTGCTACCAAAAGAATCACTCGATTCTACCTTTTCTTTCCAATCGAGTGTTAGGTGGGTTTCTATCACTCAAGTATTACCTGCCCTCGAAACATCTGGCAGCCGGGTAGACAGACCACACTGGCCTTAGGCAGGAGACCTAAAGCTAAAATGAGTTTTCAAGAGAATATCTATAGCTTCTAATGGAGTGTCTATATGGAAAATTTATTTTGAGTGTCAGGAGAGGTATAACCTAAATTTAAGTATCCACTCTCTCTTAAAGACCTATTTGCAGAAAGAGTTCTCTTTTAGGTCTTGTTATACTAAAAATAGATATTGAACTATTTACTTGTAGCGCTACTTAAATGTAGAAAATGTCTTATATTTTAGGTAGCGGTGGCCGGAGACGGTCATAGGAACCTTTCGTTAAATGCTCTCGCAGACATGGACCCATGGAGAGACACAGAGGGAGAGAGATCTGACAGGTGGAGCAACAAACGGCGCGTTCGGCTGGTCTGAAAGTTTCAGACCAGCCGGCTGGTTCGGTTTGTTCCCCTCACGTGCTACAGTGCATCTTTCAGCCGCTACAGTATTTCTCTTTCACAAAATCAGCCGCTGCAGTGTTTTGTCTTCTTTTTTCAGATAAGCGAACGGGGCCAAAACGGTGGCCACACGTTTCAGCGGGCGAGCAAGCGGGTGAGCAGCAGCACGCGGCGTTGGGATGGAGAGAGAGAGAGCCGGAGAGAGAGACGAGGAGAGGAAGAAGAAGATGACATGTGGAACCCACGTGTCAGTAACAGGGGTGATGAAGTATACGTCTTCGTATACGTCTGCAGCTAGGTCTATGCTGTGTCTATATGTATTCAGTAGTATTTTTGTGGGAAACGAAAAATTATAATGACATGTTAGACTAATAGTAAGAATCAAGTAACCCACCCACTAACCAGGCGCCGCCGCATGAATTGCAGGTTCCGCTGCACCTCTTCCGTCGAGATGGAGGGAGGAAGCCGCCGGGCCGCAGCGGCTTCGGCCGTCCTCCCGGTCCCGGACGAGCTCATCGTCGAGATCCTCTCGCGGCTGCCGGCCAAGTCGCTCTGCCTCTGCGAGTGCGTCTCGCGGGCCTGGCGCGCCTTCATCTCCGATCCGGCCAACCGCCGCAGGTTCGCGCAGACGCTGTCGGACCTCTTCTTCTCCCGTCCCTACGGCAGCCGCCCGACCTGGGACTTCATCGGCTTGTCTATGTCTTCGGTTTTGCCTCCGCCTCCCGGGGTTGATATGACTCTCTCCTTCCTGCCCCCCACCTGTGAGCTGCTGGACTCTTGCAACGGGTTGCTCCTCTTGCGGAGCGAGGAATATTGGCAACGACATTCACCACCGCCCTTCTACATCGTGTGCAATCCAGCCACCGGGGAGTGGGTTACCTTACCCCAACCAAGCCGCGTCCCAGGTCTTATTGACTATTATGACGGTGTCAGTCTACCCATAGACACCAGCACAGCGGCACTAGGCTTCGATCCGTCCATCTCCCCGCATTTCCATGTGTTTCAGCTGGTGCAGCAGTTGGATCGTTACGAATTCATCGTCTGGGCAGTGGAGATATACTCGTCCCAAACGGGAAGATGGGTTCTCAGAGAAGCCCCATTTGACCGTGCCATAGAATATGTCCAATACACTGGCCAAATGACCTATTTCAAAGGCTTCCTGCATTTCTGCATGATACGCAATTCTGTCGTGTCGGTGAACACAGAGGGCCAGACATGGAGGATCTCCCGAGTGAGGGAAAATGGTGGTGGCTCTGGTTCTTCTGTCTGTCATTCTCAGGGCCGCTTACTTTATGTTGATAGCAATCTCGACTCAAGTGATGCCATGTCAATCTATGTTCTTGAGGATCATGACAGTGAGGAGTGGATATGGATCTTTAAACAAAGCATCAACAAGCCAGATCTATTTGGACCAAGAATGCCAGGAAGGGTATGGGACTACTACACAGCTGCGTTTCATCCAGACAGCGATTTGATCTTCTTCTATGATTGGTTAAAGAAAAGACTGATGTCCTATGATATGAAACACAGGGATGTGCATGTTATCTGTACTCTAGAAGTGCCCTATTTTGAGTTTCTACCAACAGAAGATGTGCATCGTAAATTTTTCCCATATGTTCCGTTGTACTCAGGGGCATTACCATCATCGTAAATTGGAAAGTAGACTTCCTGTTAAGAGTCTTTATGTTTTCTTGTTTATCTGCCTTTGTTATTCCACTTGTTTGGTGCTGTATAATTCCTAATTTAGTAACTATTCTGAGTGCACTTGGAGCAACTTGTTATTATATTTGTGGCAATGCAATGTGTGGTTTTATTATGATGTACCTGCATTTTTTTGTTGCTAACCGCAGATCTTGGTCAAATTTCTTAGCTATTTGAAATGATATTGATGGATCTATATGGGTCTGGTGGTGATACCATTGTCTGGTTGTTTTGCAAACAGTGAGGCATGCTAGCGTTTTGGCTTTAACAAACAGTAATGGCCAATTATGGATATGGCTGGCATTTGAAAGTGTGGTTACTTCAGGGAATCTCATTGAAGAAACCACTTACTGATGGCTTTCGCTAATTAACCATTGACTGGCATGATGAAATCTGTAGGATCAACATTTTTTGGTCAGCTGGCTGCACAACAACAAACAATAACAACAAAGCCTTTAAATCCCAAACAAGTTGGGGTAGGCTAGAGTTGAAACCCAGCAGAAGCAATCAAGGTTCAGGCACGTGAATAGCTGTTAAAGATTGAAGTAGAATTTTCATGAAATTCGGATTCTTAAGGATTAAGATAAGCGAACACCAAACAGTGAGTTTTGAAACACCATTTGAAGTGTTGTGACAGAGGAGCACTGATTGCCTTTGAATTCAGCTGACCTTATATTATGTAGCCATGCCTATTAAGAGGGAATGGTTTCTTGTATTCTCCACCTTTTATATGCAGAATTTATTCAATGCTATTAATTTCAGTTTTAGTAACTAGCTTACTAGCCTGATTCCATTTGGAACATGCAGTACCAAGAGCAATCGTGGAACTGCATTTGTGGGAATGCAAACATATAGTTTAATTTCCATTTTGTTGTGTATCACCATGTCTGAAGGGTAGGCCTGCTGCAGTGGTGGGAGCTGTCTCACTGAGTCACCAGGTCGCAGGATCGAAGTAGCCTCTCCGTAGATTTTGCGGGGAGAAGGCTTGCCTTGGTTTTTCCCTTCCCCATACCCCACTCATGTGGGAGCTTCCGGCACTGGGTCTGCCTCTTTTGTGTATCACCATTGTCGGTGTTTCGAGTAAAGACCAACGAGTAAATTTGTATATTGTGCGTCTGACCCGGATGGTGTGCTAAGAGGACATAAGGTTTATATTGGTTCGGGCAAAATGTCCCTACGTCCAGTTCGTTGTTGCTGCTCGTGTTACAAGCACTGAAAGTTCGTAGTGGGGGGTTACAAACTGGCGAGAGAGGGACATGTCCCAAGTCTCTGGTGGAAAGAACGAAAGGGTGCCAAGAGCTCGGTCGCTGCTCAGCTATGTGTTCGAGGCTCGATGCTAGTGGTTTCAGTGTGATGCAGTGCGATATGCGATGTGCATTGTGGTGGACCGATGCCCCTTAGTGGGACGCCCTGCTTTCCCTTTTATAGGCCAAGGGAAAGCACGGGTTACAAATGAGAGAAAAAAGGAGAACAAGAGGCAGAGGAAGTCTTCTGGGTCGTCGGGCCTTTCTTTTCCTCCGCGTGGGCCCCGCTGACATGGTAGGTGGCGACAGGGACAGCCCCACGCCGGACGCCTGTCCGCTGACACTGCCATGCCTTGGCGTTGTCAGCGAGTCGTAATGTCCCGCTCCGCCCTGGCGGACGGTGCGGCGAACCAGCGTGCTGATCAGCGGCCGTACAGGGAGTGGGCAACATAGTGACCACGCGTCCATCACTGTGGGCGATGTGAGTATCCTGGAATGACATGTCTTGGGGATGGGTCGTGCTGGGATGCGATCGCTCCTTGCGCGATGCCAGAAGTTCGACCTTGGGTAGTACTTTCTGGCCTGTAGTGGTTGGCGACAGCGTGAGCTTCCGTTAAGAACCACGTCCGGGGGATCGGGCGAGGCGAAGCCAGCCCTCAGGCATCAGGCGAAGCGGAGCCAACCCTCAGACGTCAGGCGAAGCAGAACCAGTCCTTAGACGTCGGGCGAGGCGGAGCTAGCCCTCAGACGTCAGCCGAGAAGGAGCCGACCCTTGGGGGTCGGCCGAGGCGGAGCCTACTCTCGGGAGTCAGCCGAAGCGGAGCCAGCCCTCAGGCATCGGACGAGGCGGAGCCAACCCTCAGACGTCGGGCGAGGCGGAGCCAACCCTCAGGGGTTGGACGAGGCGGAGCCAACCCTCAGGGGTCGGACGAGGCAGAGCCAACCCTTGGAAGTCAGCCGAGGCGGAGCCAACCCTTGGGGTCGGACGAGGCGGAGCCCATGGCCTCGGTGGTCGAATGAGGCGGAGCCCAGCAAAGAGGTGTAGTCGCGCTCCTACATCTCGGCTAACCAACGTCGATGGTTATTAACTACTCCTCTTCGGGTACCCTAGTATTGGTCCCCGACAGTAGCCCCCAAGCCCTCGAGTGATTCAGATAGAATTGCCTGGGGGATTTTTTGACTTGCTAGTGGGTGCGCGCGAGCGCACCCGGTGGGTGTAGCCCCCGAGCCCTGGGTGATTTGGGTAGAATCGCCTGGGGGATTCTTCGACTTGCCAGTGGGTGCGCGCGAGCGCACCCGATGGGTGTAGCCCCCGAGCCTGCGGAGGAGTAGAATACTTCTTCGGAGGTTTTTCCAAAAGGGAGGACTCTGAGGGCTCTGGTCTTCTTTTGTCGCCCAGGGCATGTCCTGGGACGGTGATTCCCTTTTGCCGAGGTCGGACCCATCGCGGGTATGGTCGTGAGATTTGGTGGTTCGCTAACTGGATAGTTCGATTGGGGTCCCGGCATCCCGTTCACGGGGATCCGGCTGGGGTCAGCCTGGCTGAGACTCGATCGTGGGCCGAGATGCCCGTGGCGCTCACGCGCCTGGGTACTGGCCGCTTGCGCGGCCCATCCCTTTCCATCCCTTATCGTAAGGGTGCCTGGGATGGCTTTCGAACCCGTTGATGGGCCAGCTATCGAACTCCTGGGCCCAGACGGGCCGTAGAGGCGTTTTTTATCCGTATTCCTCTTACTCGTAACGAGTCCTGGTCCACCCAGGGAGGCGAAACATTCGGCGAGTCTTCCGAGAGAAAGGATTGGGATTGTGTGTGCATATCGCATGGCGCGACATTGTGGCAAATCGTGGCAGGTGCGGAGATCTAGGCGGACAGTTGGTTACCTTGCATCCATCGCCCCTATAAACCAAAGGGTTTGCCCCCAGGGTTTCATACCTTGCCTCCTTGCCTTTGCATCTGCAACCTCCGCCGCTAATCGCCTAGTCTTCCTGCCTCCGCATCCTAGCCGCCATCGAGCTCGCATCCACCCGCCCCATCTTCCAATGGATCCGTGGTGCCGCTCTGACATCACCTTCCAGCGCATGGAGGGCCTCGTCCACTGCGGTCTTCTTTGCGCGCGGACCTCGGCCGAGGAGTGGTTGCTGCTTGGCGAGGAGGACGTGCCGTCGCCGCCCGATGGTTATGTGGTGTCGTTCGTGCACTTCCATGAGCGCGGGTTTGCTACCCCTGCTCATAGATTTCTTCAGGGGCTACTGCACTACTACAAGATCGAGTTGCAGCACCTCAATCCCAACGGAATCTAGTACATGGCAGCATTTGTCGTCCTGTGTGAGGAATTCCTAGGGATCAGTCCCCACTTTGATCTGTGGCGGCACTTCTTCACCATCACCCTCCAGAAGAAGAGGGAGAAAAAGCAGGAGCTGAATACGCCGATGGGATGTGCCGGCATCCACCTCCGGAACAACCAGGTCGGCAAGTACCCGTTGATGCGACTGTCGACCTCCAACAAGGGGTGGCATTCACATTGGTTTTATCTCAAGAACGATGCTGCCGCCCCCCTATCGGAGTTCACTAGGCGCCTAATCGAAGAGGCCCCGGATTCATGGAGAAAGTGGGGTGTCCCGGAGAAGGACAAGAAGAAGATCCGGGACCACCTCGCCGCCATCCGCATCCTGAAGGAGGGGGCCTAAAAGGGTCGGGCATCATCGGGGCCTACCATGCGAGGAGGGTGGCACCGTTGATGAGGCGCGCTTCCGCTGTATGCCATGGCGCCCGAGGCGTCATTCGACGGGACAGCGCTTGCCGAGGGAGCGCTCTCCCCTTCCAAAGTCACGCAGCGCATCAAGGAGGTGATGGAGCCTTCGCGGGACAATGAGGGCGCCCCCTTGATTTCGTGTATCCGGTGCTCCAGAAGGACACCGAGACCCACCGGTGAATCCTCGACCTTGTAGCCGAGGTTGAGAAGGAGCGGGAGCCGAAGCTAGGAGCCGAGGAGAAGCTTGCGGCCCTGGAGAAGAGGGTGAGCCAGGATGCCACGATGGTCGCTCGGCTGCGCAAGGAGCGGGACAAGATGCTCCAAACCGTGGAGAGGCTCCGCTCAGAGCGTGGCATGGCTCGCGAGGAGCGCGACCAGGCCCTTCGAGAGTGCGACGACATGCAGTAGAAGATCGGCTCCCTCCAGGTCGAGCTTGGAACCACGACGACCCAGAGGTTGGAGGCCGAGGGTGTCTCCACGTGGGCTGGCCGCGGACCTCGCCAAGGCGAGGAAGAACCTTTAGGCGGAGAGCGATGAGCTCGGTATCCTGAGTGCTGCCCTCAGAGTGGTCTGCGACGACCTGGAAGTGGTGCGGTTGGAGGGGACCAGTTCACTCGTGGGCCGTGCCACCGAGATCACGGCGCGGGTGCACCAGCTCGAAAGGAATGCCCTCCATGCTGGGGTCAACCAAACCTTTGCGATTGCTCATTCTCATTATGGGGATAGCATCGATCTAGAGATGATGAGCCTTGGCTTCGCGCTTGGCTACGAAGCCTCTGAGCTAGATGAGATAGAGACGGCGGTGGCTACACTTTCGCGGGACCTGCGGACAAGATAGAAGACATAGTTCTCCCCTGGAGGGGCTAGTTACTCAAATAGGTTGGATAATCATTATTGTAATCAGCGAACAAATGCCGACCCTTGTGTATCGTAAAAACAAACATCATTATTTC